AACACATTGTTGGCAGTCACAGTCGTCGGCCACTGACTCAGTGTCTGACCACTATTTTCCTATTCAGTCACTGGAACCTATTACATGTCGGCCATGTTTTAAATAGGACGGAAATGAAACAAAAAACATTAAATACAGCTAGGGACGGACATGCCGATATTGTGCAAACATTGCCCAACTCCGATAACAACCGATACCGATATATGCAGCTGTTAGCCCCCAAAAAACTGAGGTAAACGTCTCAGGAACCTACAAGCGATTCTTTGGCATCTTTGGTGAAATCGGGGGTTTTTTTTATTATCGGAGGAAAATTTGATAACGATTCTTACAGAGATTACGCAATGATGCTAGTATCGGTCAGCCGATATTATCGGACATCCCTGATTCCAGGCTAATATTTACTACGGTTGGCAAAAAAAAAAAAAAAAAAAAAAAAAAACTTCAAGAGTCGAGAACAGGAAGTTGTCACTTTAACAGGAAGTTGTACTTCTGTATTTCCTAGCAGTCTATAAGGGGGTGTATGTTGGCAAGAATCTGCGATACGATATGTATCGCAATACAGAGGCAACGATACGATATATTGCGATATATTGCGTTACTGTAGACATGACGATATATTGAGGTTTTAAGAAGTCGTCTCCAACATCAACAGGACGTGGACGGAGACCAGGTGTGATGTCCATGAGTGAAAGATCACTGTGTGTGTGTGTGTCGTTATCTGCTAATGATGTTTACACACCCTTTTGCTTTGGAACTGAACTCTTCACTCTGGCCAGCGTCCAGAGTTCCACTTCCAAGAAGCTGCTCCGTTTCCACAGAACATTTTTTATACAGAGCAGAAAAAAAAAACAAAAAAACAAACCCATTATTGTTTGAGCAGTGAACGACTAATGTCTCCGTGAAGAATTCAACCGAACCATTCAGCAGCAGGTGAAGTCGTTGGCAGGAAATGTTTACGGAAATGACCGAACATTAGGCTAAAAAAAAAAAAGATTACAATGAGATTATAGGAGAGAGATTGAGGAACAAAAGAGATTTGAGTTTAAAGGTGGAAATGTAGCCGGAAATGTAGCCATGGTGGAAAAAAAAATCACAATAAAATAAAAGAGCTAAAATGTGTGGAACATAAAAAATGTAAACCTAGAAAAACAGCAAAAGTGTAAAAAAAAGAAAAAAAGAAATCATAAACAACAGCCCAACAAAATTATATAAATTCAAAAATCAGGTCGGCACAAACAGGTCAACCATTGGCTAAGAGCTCGTTCAACTGTTAGACACAAGGTCACCTAAATGTTAGCAACGTAGCTAAAACATAGCCGGGATAAAAACAGTTTGGAACGTTCGTATTTAATTTGTGACGATTAGTTTTAATACGTATAATTCGCTCATTAACACACACACACACACACACACACGGGGTCAGGCCTGCAGTGTAACTGTAGAGCTGTGCAGCAGTGGACTCAGGTTTCACAGAGGAAACAGCAGCACAGTCCTGGGACACACGTGACCATGTGACCATGTGACCACGTGACCCTGCCATTGTCTGAAACCTGAGGCACGCAGCGACACACGAACCCATCAGAGATGAGGTAATGGTCAGACCCTCCAGGTCACCAGGAAATCTAAGAGTCAACGCGGAGACGTGATGTCATCAGCTCAGCTGGTGGTGATGTCACAGGTCACATGTCATGGACCGTGGACTACTTTGTAAAAAAATGTAATTTTGATGCTGTTAAAATCCCTCAGTCTGCTCTGGGAAAAGTCCATTCAACAAAACAAAACTGTAGAAAATTTTTTTTAAAAATTTAAAAAATCTTATACAGACTCCAGAGAACTAGAGTCGTTTTTACCAATTCTTTAAAAAAAAAAAAAAAAAGTAATTTTTGGGTCAAGTTCCACTGAATGTTTCGTAAGATTTTCCTTCTTTTGTGCCGTTTCTTACTCAACAGATGATTTTTTTATAAGATTTTAGGATTATAATTATAATATATAAAATCCACACAGTGATTTTCATGCCATGTTTTGCAATTTTTTTTTATTTTAGCAAATGTATCCATTCCTGAATAATCTGAATAACATTTAGCCAAAGTAGTAAAACATTTAGGGGAAAACAGATTGAACGACGACAACAAGAATCGCAATTAAAATATTGCGGTATCACGGTTTATCAACGTCATCACAACAAACGGGGAATCGGACCTGAATCGTCACAACATTTAAAGTGAATGTGTCCCTGACGTGAAGCACAGAGTCCGGTCAGAGTTTATATTTAAAGCAGTCGACGTGGGTCACGGTCTAAACCAGCGGCCGAGCTGACGTGCAGCACAGTTTACACGAACCACAGCTTTTCCCACGTTAAATTAACATTTTCTTAATAACCTGAATTATTGTCAGAAAATCACAGACCGTCTCTCAGAGCCGGGGAGTGGCTGAGAGGGAGAGGGGGAGAGAGGGGACGAGGGGGGGAGTTACCTCTCTTTCTAACTCCACTGTCATCTCTGTAATAAAAACACCACCAACAACCAACTGCGTTATATTTAAATAATAAATAATTGTAATTATTCTAGAGCTGAATCCGTGTCTTGAGACGTGACAGGACGTGGACTCAGACTGAAGCCGTTTCCGCCTCCATCAGCTCCGTCCTCCGGCTACACACGCATGACAAATGTTAGAATTAACGTGGATTTAACAGTGTTTATTATTATTATTATTTAGCTTTTTATGGCGGTCAAAACGTGAGTGTTTACATCCAGCGGTCAGTGTTGCCGCAGCAGCAGCAGCTCCAGCGGCAGCGGCGGGAACTCACCTCTCTCCGGAGCCCATTTCTTCGACGCTGGCGGCGGCAGTGCGGCAGTGCGACGTCCCGCGTCTACGTCTTCTTCTTCTTCTTCTTCGCCGCTGTGTCCTCGCTGCTCCTTCGCGGCCCTCGGTCACACGGTGTCAACAGCAGGGGACGTTGTGGGAGCTGACAGCGGCCTCCACTCTCCCTGCTCTGCGGGAACTCGACACTGAAACTCGACTCTATTCTTTCCGCAGCTGCGCTTCGCCTCGCGTTCGCTCCGCCGCTCTGTGACGTCAGGGAGGAAAGCCCCGCTGTGTGACGTCAAGGCGTCGAGCGACAATACGACGCCCCTTTATTTATCCTTTAAAAGAAATGTAAGCTTTTCGTCGGAAGACAAACAATCAGAGCCAACTTCCGCTGTAAATACAGTTTATATAAAGACGGAAACACAGTGAAATAACAGCGGCGGTGTTTACGGTTCACTTCGACCAGCGGTGGCAGCGGGGCGTTTATTTTATACACCGCTGCAGCTGAAATACACTCTCCCACTCCCCTTCATGAAGTCAGAGGACCACCATTGGTACGCTTGCCGTAGTTTGAGAACCACTGTACCAGAGCACCGGGAACCTACACTGTCTGTCATCCCACAAGTCGTAGGACACAACTTAACGTTCTCAGGCCACACGGTGGCGCTGTAGTGCGTGTTTTTCCCCATAGCAAATGTAAAGTAACGTACTTTTTTTAACAAAAATAAGAATTAAAGAAATAAATTTAAAAAAAAGAATAAGAAGAATAAATAAAGCCAACAGACTGTAGAAAACCAGGTTTATTCCATTTTGACAGGAAGTCCAAACAACGCCACCTACAGTCAGATTAGTGCTATGAAGTAAGAGCTAAACTTAACTTAAGGAATCCA